CACCACCTTTCCATGGATATAAAGTTCATCAGAATCGGATCTAGAATGAAGGAGTTATGACAGTTTGAAGATTTGACAAGAATGGCCTTATAGAGAAAAGTTTGCATGGAAGACCATGCATGCATGTTGGGGCGCATGTGGGTACGCCCAACGTAAGCTGGATTACGCCCAGCATAAAGGGAGTAAGTTGGACGCGCATGTTCAAGGCATACGCCCAACGTACAAAGAGTAAGCCCATCGTACGCTCAAAGCCTCAAAACCCTAAATTTAGGGCCAGCCACTATATAAGGAACATAATGGTTCTCACCCTAGTCTCCATAAACGCTCTCTCAGCCTTAAAAGCCCTATATAGTCGTTCCACCTCCATTGTTGGGTGTGTTTGAACTTGGAAAGCTTGTTTTGGCAAAGAAGAGCCAAGAAGAAGGAAGAGGAAGTTATCAAAGAAGGAGTGGGGTGGCTGGAGCTCGTGTATCTGGAAAGGGACCATCTTCTAGAGCCCTTGTGAGGTAAAAAGTCTCTGGCTTGGCAATCATATTGTGTAGATCTATGTGTTGTGAAGTTTTGACATCATTCTTGTCCCAAAAACCTCATCTTGATGCATGTCTCGAGTTGGCTGAGATTAGCTGTCCTTTTAGACCTTATGAGAGGTCTTGAGTAAGAAAAATGAGGTCCCAAGGGATTTGGTTGTCTCATATGTGATATAGATAGGTCTTAATGGATTAAGACCTTGGATTAAGAACTTTATGGACGTCCCAGGTAATAAAGTTTGAGACTTTATGAATCCTAGACACATTTGGCCTAGGGATCTAAAGTTTGGGCTTAAGAGCTTAAGCCATTAAGAGGTTATATGGACTTGTTGATCAGCGAAGTTACGCCCCGCGTAACAAGGGAGTACGCCCATCGTAGCGGGTCAGTGTCCCGATCCCAAATCGCGAAGCATCGTTGTATGCCCAGCGTACCAAGCAGGGTACGCCCAACGTACTCCCTCTACTGGGTTTTAATTGTGGGCCTTGCTTGTTTGGGCTATCTATGGGCTAATAAAGCTTGGGCCTTGACTGAATAGTATGGATGGAGTATTTTGGGCCCAATTATTATTATGGACCTTGGATCTAGGCCCGCTTGTAGAGGTGGGCCCAATTTAGTAAATTGGGCCAATATTGGGCTTTGTATGAGAATTTAACTTTGGCCTTGGCCCAATAAGTGGATATATGATTGACCTAATGATTATTTCTGCTATGTTGGCTACTTTGGGATTTTCGGTGAGTCGGTGATTCGGGAGTCTGCTTTTCAGTTCAGAGTTTCGGCAGTTGCGAGGTGAGTTATCCTCACTATATCAACAGGTTCTAAGGCACCAAGGCCAGCCCTTTATCGGATTGTAATCTGGGTATCGTTGTTATGTTGTTGCCTTGCTATGCTTGCATCCTGGTAGTTAGGATGGTATATGTTAGAGACCAGTTAAGGTCGGTATCCTGGTATATAGGATGATGCTATGCTAGTGACCTGTTAGGTCGATATCCTGTTTAGAGTATGTTATGATATGTGATCTGCTAGATAGGTTTGATTGGATGTGAATTGTTATATGATTATATGGTTATGTGCACATGGTTGTTGGACTGGGATTGGGTTGAGGCGGGTCCTGCTTTGTGTTGTAGGCCAACATACCCAGGGCGGACTGGTTATCCAGAAGGACCAGCGAGCGGTCCGGATAGGCTGTAGGCCCCATGAGGGCGGACCAGATGTGCCGAGGCTTGGAGAGTGGACCAGGCCGACTGAAGGCCCGGTGCTGGTGGACCAGTCATACTGTAGACTCAGAGAGTGGACCAGGAGTGTTGAAGACCCACTGCGGGCGTACCAACCACACTGCAGACTCAAGGGACATGACTAGACTCGGAGGGTGGAACAGGTGGACTGAAGGCCCGGTACAGTGGACCAGTCACACAGTAGACCCAAAATGCATGGCTGTTCTGTGTTCTGTTATGATATAGCATGTTATGCCTGTATGGTATATGTGTTTGGTATTTTGGGGGTATCTCACAAAGCTTTCGGGCTTACAGTTGTGGTTTAATGTTTTTCAGGTTCTTCAGGAGACTGTGGCAAGGCAAAGGCGTGATCATACCGCTCCTCATGTTTATGTTTTATGTTATGGTTCTGGGAATACTCTGATAATAAATGTATTGAAAACCTTTTTGTAATAACTTAAAGAAATTGGGATGTTTTTGAAAAGTTTAAATTGTCTTGAATTTATGGTCGTTACATAGATGTTTAAATTGGGGCGCCCCGATTCTGTTTGTGAAGAAGAAGGACGGGTCACATCATATGTGTATAGATTACCGAGAGCTGAACAAGGTAACGGTGAAGAACCGTTACCTACTCTTGAGGATTGATGACCTCTTTGACCAGCTACAGGGAGCATCTTGGATCTCCATGATTGATCTACATTCACGATATCATCAGATAAGGGTCAAAGAGGAGGATATACAGAAGACTGTGTCTCGGACTACGCTATGGCCACTACGAGTTTGTGGTGATGCCCATCGGGCTCACCAATGCTCTTGCCGTGTTCATGGACCTCAGGAACCATGTGTATAGACCGATGTTAGATAGGTCTGTGATACTGTTTATTGATGATATCTTGGTTTACTCCAAGACGCAGGAGGAGCACGATGAGCATCTACGAGAGGTTCTGGAGATTTTGAGAAGGGAGAACTTGTATGCTAAGTTCTCCAAGTGTGAGTTCTGGTTGTGCGAGGTATCGTGGACTTTCGTTGGGGGCCTGAGTAGCAGGTCGTGTTCGAAACTGAGACAAAGATTGTGCGAGGTGCCAATCTTAGCTCTGCCAGAGGGCATGGAGGATTTTGTTGTGTACTGCGATGCGTCCATCTCAGTTTTCGGCGCAGTATTCATGCAGAGAGGGCATGTCATCGCCTACGCGTTGAGGCTACTAAAACCTCACGAGGCGAACTACCCGACAAATGATTTGGATTTGGGGGCTATTGTATTCGCCCTCAACATTTGGCATCATTACCTATATGGGTTCGCTGTACCATCTACATGGACCATAAGAGTTTGAGGTATCTCATGGATCAGCCGAATCTAAACATGAGACAGCGTCGGTGGATGGACGTGGTAAAGGATTACGATTGCGAGATCCTTTATCACCCGGGTAAGGCCAATGTGGTGGCACTACTAGAAAAACAGCCTTTTACGACGCTCATTGCGCATCGTAAAAGGCTCAGACGACGCGCAAATGCGCGTCAAGGAAGGCCCTGTCATAAAGAGATACGATGCGCTTTTGCGCGTCGTCTATAGACGACGCGCATTTACGACGCTCATTTACGACGCACATTTACGACGCGCATTTACAACACGCATTGCATATCAAGGAAGGCCCTGTCATAAAGGAAGATGACACGCATTCGCATGTCGTAACCTTACGACGCGCGTGTTAATGACACGCAATGCGTATCAAGAAAGCCCCCGTCAAGAAAGGCCATGTCGTAAATGAAGACGACACACATTTTTGCGTATCGTAATTTTAAAAGTTAAAAAAAAATATTATTTATAGATTTTCTAATTTTCAAATTAGATTTTCATTTAACTTCTCATATTATAAAATAAAATACCATATACAAAAAATATAATCCATTGCATAAAATTTAATTTCATACAAATAATCGATCCTTGGAAAGATAAAACATATCAATAGAAGTTGTTTTCTGTCTATACATGATTATCACATACTAAATAACAAGCTTTATTTCATATTCATACATATGATTACATTATTCATTAAACAAATATATACTTACATCTTCACCTAAAATGTTATTACATGATGCAAGTTGGCCACTTCATTGATGGACCACCAAGAGGAAGACCAACAACTGCCCTAAATTTTTCCATATGTGCCCTTACTCATGTCCTGTAACTTTAAACATTTAATAAAGTCAAATATCTCCTAAAATAAAATTGCACAAGAAACAAAGACTGAAATTGGAAGAAGTACACTATAAGTTTGTTTTACCAAAGAGTGGCATGAATGATCGGGTGCTACAAGTTTGTCCACGCTGCCAAACAAAGACTGCATGTGTAATATTAGTTATACACTTGTCTTCTTAGTTTCATTCACTTGTCTCTTTAAGTGAATGAAACAATATATCTGCAAGAAATGACAGGCTTCAAGAAATGTATAATATTAGTTATACTCATGGTAAAATGTCATAGACTGTAATTGGAATTCCACAAAATTACATCTATGTATAAGTGGAGTTTGTATCTAAAATGCACATGTTGCTTTCAAATGTAACACAAAACCAAAATAAATAAATAAAGTATTACCTGGACTAGTGTATAAGTGGAGTTAGTATCTTCTTTAGCAACAAAGGAATAAACATCTATGCTATTTTTTGCAACTCTACCACTGCTACTAAAGTCCCAATTAAGAACTTGAAGCATGAAATGGAGTGCAGTTGTACAAACTCTTGCTTCTGAGACAGAAGCATCAGAATTTTTAATTTTAGTAGTAACATTTTGTGCAGCCCCCATGCCCAACAATAAAAATTATGTGGAATTAACAGAGAAAAAGAATAAAATATGAGAAATTGGTTAGCAAAAAGATAATTTTTATAGGGTCCAATCATGTACAACTTTCAAAATCCTTTACATTTGAGTTTCTTTTGTTCTTTATACACTTGTATGAACTTCATACAAGTGGGATATATAATCATTTTAGTGCAATGCCATGCAGTCCATCTGTTTTATATACTCAAAGCAGAAAACCTCATTCAAAAAAAAAAAAAAACTAGGGGGTGTTTCTTTTTTACTTAATGAGCTTAATTGGTTAAGCACTTAAACTAGACAGATGACTTATTAGGTCAAGCAAAAAAATCTATTTGTCTTTTCGAATGTAAGGGTGAAATGGTCATTTAGTCTCATTCACACGGTTTATTTGGTTTGGAAACAGACATCATATATACAATACTTTATCTAGAGAGACATCATTACCCATACAGGACATAATGAGAAAAGAAAATAAACAGCTCCTGAAAATATGTTGTTATAGGAAATGGTTTAATGAGATGATGATAAACAAAATGAAAAACCTTAAGATAATCAATAACATGATGGAGAAAATTCAGACACCTGCAACATTATTTTTTAGCATGAGAACTTTGTATAAATGAAAATTGGTACTCAATAACATGATGAAACATATACCAGTGACTCAAGAAACTGAGTCCAATGAACTGCACTTCTAGTCCATGGTTCCTAGCAATAGCCATATTTATCTGAAGCCAACAAATTACAATTAATTTCAGGCACAAAAAAATGAAGTTTCCAGCTATGAATTAAAAATTATAATAATTAGTTTTAACAAGGATGAATTTACTTTAGGGACTTACCTCAGAGAAAAATCCATCCTTTTCTGCAGCAGTAAGTTCCAACCTACACTAGGGCCAGACAATCTGAAACAGTTAGCAATATTCTTTATTTTTTTAATGGCTAGTTAAGTTACAGATTGTCAACATCAAATAATTAACAGGAAGATATGTTGATGGTGTCTTATAAGCGAACCAAGTTTGTATGTTGATGGTGTAGTCTGAATTGACACGAGTGACCAATAGTATAAGGTCTAGACACCTGAGATGTTCTAAGGATGCTGTTTAGTTTTTGTAAATGATGGTAAAAGCAACCGCTAACAGGTAATAAGCCTGAAAACAAAACAAAAAAGAAGAAAGAAAAAAAAAAGTTAGCACAAACAGTAGTCCTAGAAACAGAAGCAGAAGGAGAAGTATGGGGAAAGGGTAAAATTCACAAACCTATAAACAGTTCACTAATACACTGAGACCAAAGCAATCCTTCTAGGCTCTAGACCTATAAATATTTGGATAAAAAATTTAGTCAAACTGATGCACTGAAATGCAAATAGAATGGAAACAAAACAAACACAATATTAACCTGCAAGGCTGGAAGTTGCTTTCATAGCCCTCTGTTTTTCTTTATCGTTGTGTACACCCAATTTCACAACTACTTTCTGCAATTGGATACAAAGTAACCAACAAATAAATGTTAATCTCAATAATGAAAATAATGACGCTAAAAAGCATAAGTTTGATAATGGTTTTGAAGCATAGTAGTAGGATTTCTTCTGTGTATGCTCTTTATCTGTAATCACAAGGTTCAGAAGCAATTTTATTTTATTTTTCCTATTTTTGACTACAATTTTTGTACCATAGGTATGATATCAAGATAGAAACAATTTTTTCGTGGAATATCCCTTCAAATGTTGGAATGGTAAATTTAAAAAACCAATTAACAAAACTATTATTTGCTGGAATGGTATATGTAAAGAATCAACTTTTGTAAGTATTTAATTAACATGCTCTTTTTAAAAAAAAAAAGAATCAATTAACAAAAAGGTAAACCATATTTACAAAAAAAAAAAAAGACGGATTATAATCACATTCTAAAACTTGATGGTGTGAAAAAACAGGACACCGATAACAAACATAACCACGAACGTTTTGAAAAACTGACTGTTGGCAAATTCCCTAACAGATTTCAACCCCCATAAAAACAAGCCCTAATAATTCTGTTTATTCCTTAATAGAAACACTCAATGCAAAAAAATTTAAATATATGATGGTAAAAGAAGTTACTGAAAGGAAATAAGCCTCAAAGCGTAAACAAAAATTGCACAACCTTCCTAGAATCAGTAAAAACCACTATAGTAGAAGGCAAAGTAGGAGAACACAAGGGGGGGGGGGGTAGGAAACAAGGAAAGGGAGAAAAATGGAAATGTGAATTGTGTAATGTTAACTGTGAATTCTGCAAATTAAAAGGTTGAGAGCATGAACTAAGAAGTGGAGAGCAGTCATGAGACCTGTACGCAGAAGTAAGGCTGCCATAAGATCATATACAAGACTGTGAATCATGTTGGAGAGTAAATCGGTAAATGTACTTCTATCTTCACGTTCGTTGTCCCAAAATTCTGAGCAATCGGCTCCTACTTTTGTCGTTTGCACCAGATCACCTTTATTTACCCTAGGAACGAGCACAACTCCAATATAACTCTCAGCTTCTAATGAACTCACATATCCTCTGTGTAAGGAAAATGAAATGACATTGGTGAAGTCAAATGATGTTCATTATAAAATAAAGAGGTGAGAAGAGGAGATAACCTAAAGCAGAATCTGCAATTGCAAAACATGAGGATTTAGCTCCCCAAATTTCGTTCCTTTGTAGCATTGCATCATTGTGCAGTCGTTGAAATAGGAGAAAATAAAGATACCAAAGAGAAAAAATGGAAGCCCTAATTATCAAATTAACCAGACATCTAGAAGAAACAAAACACAATGAAAAGGAAGAAGAAAGGTTCTTGTTCGTTTATTGGTTCCAGATAGGATGGGGACTTTAATTTTTTTAGGAGAACCGACGATAGAGGGTTGAATAGGGCCATAGGAGCCATTGTTACAACCTATCAATTTCATTCATGAATTATTATGGGAATAATACAAGAGGCGAGTGTCGATTGCAATTTCAAATGAAGTATTAAAAGATGCTAGACCAAAAACCTGATAGAAGTCGTCGGAGCCAGAACCAACAGAACTACCACCGAAGGTATTATTGACACGAATAGGGATGGGATATAATATGCGAAATAGGTTCACCTCGAGGTCCTCCTCTACCTGATTTGATTCGAGAGGCATGTATTCAACAAGGATTTTTGGGGAATTCGTAGATCCTCAATCCGGTTGTACCGGAAGAATAAAGTATAGCGGCGACATCGGATTGAGAAACGGAGGGAGACAGAGCGGCATGATGGTGGCGATGGCGCCAATGGATGTAACGACGAGAAATGCTAGAAGGAAGAAGATGGGTTTTAGGTTAGAGAGAGAGAAAGGAAGAAGAAGACCCTAGGCTTGTTTCATGCTAATTGGAAGCGGAGGGGGGGGGGTTAATTCTTCACATAGGCGGGGTTTTAATTTTTGGGGATTTCATTTCCCGCTCAAAACGCGTGTTTCATTAAAAAAAATATAAAGCAACACACTTACATGACACACACTTTATAATAGGCGCCCTCCGTATTTCTTTTTTTTTTCTTTTCTAACACTAATTTCAGGGCACGCACAAAAAGCGTGTGTTCTATCCTTCAAATTTTATAAGAGATGACATTACTTTTTGGACGTACACTTTTGCGTATCGTAAATCACCGCGTGTCATTGTTTGCGCGTCATTAAAGGCTGTTTTTCTAGTAGTGTGGCCGACGCATATAGCCGCAATGCAGCGCCGATCAGGGATATCTGCCTGAGGATGACAGTGGTGACTCCGCTGTTGGAGCATATTCGGGAGGCCCAGCAGGAGGCCATGAAGGAGGAACATTGGAAGAGCGAGTGGATCGTGGGGCAGGTTTCCTCATTTGACTATGACAGCCAAGGATTACTGACACTACATCGTAAGGTGTGGGTGCCATACTATGGGGATGTGCGCCAGGTTCTGATGGAGGAGGCGCACAAATCTCGGTTCTCCATTCATCCCGGGGCGACAAAGATGTATAGGGATCTTCGTCTGGACTATTGGTGACCCTGCATGAAGCAGGATGTGGCATGCTTCGTAGAGCGGTGCTTGACCTGCAGAAAGGTCAAGGCTAAGCATCAGAGACCTCACGTGAAGATGCAGCCATTGGATATTCCACTGTGGAAATGGGAAGACATCACAATGGATTTTATCACTAAGCTTCCTAGGACCGCGCGGGGAGTGGATTCGATCTGAGTCATCATCGATCGATTGACCAAGATCGCCCATTTTATCTCGATTCAGGAAAGCATCTCGACCGAGAAGTTGGCCGACATCTATATCCCGGAGGTGGTGGCATGGCACGGTGTGCCAGTTTCTGTGATTTCAGACAGGGATGTACAGTTCATTTCTAGGTTTTGGAGGAAGTTTCATGACGAGTTGGGTACTCGTCTGCATTTTAGCACCGCCTTTCACCTGCAGATGGATGGTCAGAGCGAGCGGACCATCCAGACCTTGGAGGATATGCTACGAGCATGCGTATTAGACTTTGGAGGTAGTTGGGATACCTACCTTCCATTAGTAGAGTTCTCCTATAACAATAGTTATCATGCGAGCATTGATCATCCTACCTTCGAGATGCTATATGGGAGGAAGTGCAGGACCCCGATATGTTGGAGCGAGGTTGGCCAGAGGGTAATGGGGAACACTGAGGTAGTGATCAAGACAAAAGAGAAGATTCAGCAGGTCTGGAACAGGCTTCAGACTGCTCAGAGTCGGCAGAAAAGTTATGCAGATAAGCACCGATCAGACCTGGAGTTCCAAGTCAGGGATATGGTTCTCCCGAAGGTGTCTCCATGGAAAGGCGTTATCCGATTCAGGAAGTGGGGCAAGTTGGGCCCCAGGTACATTGGACCGTTCAAGGTTATAGCCCAGGTGGCGTATAGGCTGGATTTGCCAGCCGAACTCAGTCAGATACACAGCACTGTCCATGTTTCTCAATTGCGAAAGTGTTTGGTGGATGCCTCAATAGTGGTACCCTTGGAGGACATTCAGGTAGATGACAGCCTGAACTACATTGAGCGACAGGTGGCAATCCTCGGACGGAAGCCAAAGGATTTGAGGAACAAAAGAGTGGAACTCGTGAAGGTGCAATGGCAGCACCGGAAGGGGTCGGAGTAGACTTGGGAGCTGGAGGATGAGATGATGGAACATTACCCCGAGCTGTATCAGGATCGAGCACCAGACTTCGAGGATGAAGTCTAAAATAAGTGGGGGAGATTTGTAGCACCTGGATCTTGGTATGTATTCTTTTATTAATATTTTTTCATTTTGGCCTTGAACTCGGCGAGTTGAAGGACCAACTCGTCGAGTAGAAGCAGGATGAGACGTCGGGTTTAAGTAGTGGACTCGATGAGTCGGGTCCCGGACTCGGTGAGTAGGCCCTGTCTGGACAAAAGCCCTAACCCGAGGGTTTGCACCTGATTTAAATACCTTAACTCGGCCTCCTCCGTCCCATTTACTCCCCAAAAGACCCCCATAGCAAACCCTAGCCATTATTGAAGCAATCTAAGGCATTTGGAGTGATTTTGGTGCTTTTATGACCCAAGAAAGGAAGGAAAAGCTTGAAGGATCAATAGGAGGCTAGAAGGATCCGATTTTGAGCATTATTTGCAGTCTTCAGAAGTTATAAAGTCTATACCTTGTTTGTTCTTTTGATAGATCCCATTTTGTGGAGTTTTAGGGCTTTCTAAGCCATTTTGGTCACCAACCATGATTGCAAGCATGGTTAGGGGTTGATGTTTCAGATCTAGGCCCTTAGAGGGGTTACAAGGCAGAAAGGAGTGGCTCTTGCACTCAAAGAAGGCCCCATGCATTGTAAGAGATTGTTTTAGGACCTTTTGAGCTCAAAGTCCCATGCAAGAACGTAAAGGTTGTAACTTTACATGCTAGATTGATTGTAGAAGCATAGATCTATCTTTTGATCAAGGGTTGTACATCAGAAATTGAAGATTTAGTGAGAGGATGTGAGCAATTCGACGAGTCCATTCTTGGACTCGGAGAGTCCAAGGTTTCTATCCCATATCAGTTGAGGGTCATAAGGACCCAGTTGAGTATGTAAAGGTTTGAAGGGGGTCCCAGGGAGTGACCCTACGTTATGGACTAAACCATTGTTCTGGAAGTTCATGGGACTCGGCGAGTGCATGAGCAGACTCGGTGAGTCCAAGGAAAACTTCTTAAGGATGAAGATGAACTCAACGAGTTGTTCATACAACCTGGCGTGTCAAGGACAAGACATGTGTATCAGTTGAAGATGAACTGGATGAGGTTTTCATACAACTCGATGAGTCAGATGAGGATTCAGTCGATGTTTATTTAGAAGGAAAACGCATCGATTCATCGCCTAACTTGACGAGTAGAGATGGGTATAAGGACAAATGGATGGATAGGGAATCGGCGAGTTGGCGAGCCAACTCAGCGAGTCAGTTCAACTAGAAGTTGACTTTGACTTTGATTTGGTTAGGGGAAAAATGGTCATTTTACCCTAAGAATAGTTAGTAGTGTAAGACTAAGTGTTTTGTGGGAATTATAGCCAGAGGATTTCCGGAGTAGCAGCAATAGCAGTCAGAGGATTCCCGTTCAGATCAGCGGCTACTACGAGGTGAGTTACCTTCTAGTAGAGGTGGGTCTACGGCCACAATGCCAGCCCACCAGTAGGAGTTGTATGATTAGATGATTGTATTTGTGATATCATCTAGGTTTTCTACTACCTGATATGTTATATGCTGACATGATTTGTTATATGTGACAGTAGTAGAGTTCGGTTGTTAGGACCGAAGGGTAGGTCAAACACCCTAGATATATCTAATAATATGTGCTAATATGTTTATATGATGGCATGATATGTTATATGTGATAGCGGTAGTATGAGGGGAGTAGTGCCCAAGTTCGGTTGTTAGGACCGAAGGGTAGTTCGGACACCCCATATATGTCTGATAGTATGTTTATGTTATGATATATGGCATAGTAGCAGTAAGGGGTGGAATAGTCCCTGAGGGTCGGTGG